ATGTTACAGCAATATATATATTTGAAAACAACATGAAAACAAGAGCTAACTANCCTGACAACTCCAGTTATTCTTACGGTCTTGATCCATAAGAAAGTAAGATTTAGGTGTTATATTAGCACATAACAAATCATAACCTAAGCCACATGCGGAGCACATCATGTATTCCTTCCTAGAAAGTTTATTTTTACATCCAGAACAAATCTTTGGGACTGATGACATTCTTCCCTTCTTTTATCTTCCCAAATTATATTCTTACTGTTGAAATTAATTACTAGTTCTATGTATAAAAATTATAAATGTATTTGCCAAAAAGAAAAAAAGGAAAAAAATATGTGCTTTGCAGGATTCGATCTTGAGGCCTGAGCAGCTGACGGGTGCATAAAACTCGCTTGACTAACCGCTTGACCGCAGCAACTTCAAATAAGCGTGCTAATTTATTGAATATACTCAAGTTTAAATTTTGTGTTAGTTCAATATCCAATCTTTTGTTTTTCAAACCTTCTTCATACCCTCTTTTTATTATATCAATATATAATTTTGAAATTATTTTTTGGTTTATTCACTGTTTTAACACAATATTAAACAATAATTTTTACACAGTTTCACAACTTATGATTCACTGATTAAGGTAGTGTAACTCAAGGCTTGGTATAGACAATCTTGACACCATATAAGAAATAAAATCGGTTAGAACTACAATAACACGTCTAGTCGTTTTCGTTACGTTATTACGTCGTTTCGTTATTATAGAAAATATAAAAAAAATAGATATACACCGTTTACAAATATGTAATATGAAATAACTATTTGATTTATATACCAATTATTTACTGGTGGTAGGACCTCTTGTGAGTCCGCACGAGTAGGTACCACCGCCCCGCCTATTTCTGCCGTGAAGCAGTAATGCGTTTCGGTTTGAAGGGTGGGGCAGCCGTTGTGACGATACTGAGACCTTACAACTATATCTCAAGGTATGTGGCGCATTTATTTACGTTGTAGATGTCTATGGGCTCCAGTAACCACTTAACACCAGGTGGGCTGTGAGCTCGTCCACACATATAAGCAATAACAAAAAAAAAAAACTTACAGATACTTACATACATATAATAAATTTATAGTATGAAATATATAGTATGGAAATGATAAATGATAATGATACAAATAAACAACACTAAGCAGATAATTAATAATGCTCCTTCACCTTTCTTTTAAAGCAGCTTAAAGTTGGAGCAATTCTCACTGCACTAAGAATTTTTTTTAATGAAAACGATTAGTGTGGTCTGGATTGTCCTAAAGTACTGCAGTTCAGGACCCTGACATGGTCAATCGGTCACATAACTTAAATGACGCCAATAATCCTAAGACGACAAAGTCTCAAATGTTTTATAACAATTGTTCTATTCTTCATACCAGACTGAATGACTAGTTCCCAGCAGGACTACGATCAGTATGTTAACAGTCCATAGTATTATCTAAATCATACTGATTCTCATTTCCGCGTAAACAGATTGAAAAATTACCGATACGGACGAAAATCTCTACGTAAACTCCAAATAGAGTTCGACACCAAGAAACTCATCACACCAATACGCAATAAAAACGGGGTGCATTGATAGAAAAGCACAGGTCGGAGCCACTAGAGATTTCTCGTATCCACAACGCTCCTTTCTCCGGGGCTTTCAGAAAGTTCCATCAAGCTTCTACTCAACGGTCCGCTGTATTTTGATCACGTAGCGCGGAAGCCCCAACTTAGTTTCGGGAAACGAGAAATCTTCAAGAAAAAATCCACTCCGACACGGGTGATTTAAAACCTTACACGCTATAAGAATATTCTGAATATGTCAATTATAATACTGGTGGTTGTTGTTGTTTTTAATTAAACTAGTTTTCCCGCAGTAGTCGAAATTCGACTTTAATCAATTGATATTTTATGTTTAAACATTATTATGGTTCTATTGTCAAATACTAATAAACTTATATAATATAATCACAGATTTCGCCAAAACTACACTATACATAAATAATAATAATGACAAACAATATTCATCTATTCTCAATTTGACCACAGACTTTAAACACTAACAAAAGTTTTACAATTGACAATAAACAAAGAGTATATTTATATATATATATGTGTTGTTTCAAATACATGGTAGTGTGTGTAATGTTTTCTTTATTTATTTAATGTATGTTTTATGCATTATTTAAAAAAAGATTAGCATTGTGCACTTCTTCTCTATATTCTCTATAAGTGTGGAAAATTCCATACTCCTCCGTCCGCGCAATTTTCGTAAAAAGGATACAAAGTTTTTGCTTCATATTAATGTATAGAGTTTAGAAACATTAGCTGGGTGTACAGATTCGTATAAATAAATTAGTATGGAATTAATATCTTACATGAAACTAATCGAAGCAGTTATTAACCAGAATATACCCCTCAGCTAATGAACAAAACGCCCTAATTTTTTCTGGAATCGAGAAATGCGTTCCGTATAAAGAAAAAACGTTCGTTCGTATGAAGCGATGCAAATTTGCCGAATCTCGTAGGCAGATACCAATTTTCATAAGGAAATACATACATAACATGCGCTCGCGAATCACTTCCACGCAGAAGAAATTAGATCGTATAATAAAATTAATCTTCCATAATATCTCACTGGTGGTAGGACCTCTTGGGAGTCCGCACGGGTAGGTACCACCATCCCGCCTATTTCCGCCGTGAAGCAGTAATGCGTTTCGGTTCGAAGGGTGGGGTAGCCGTTGTAACTATACTGAGACCTTAGAACTTATATCTCGAGGTCGGTGGCGCATTTACGTTGTAGATGTCTATGGGCTCCAGTAACCACTTAACATCAGGTGGGCTGTGAGATCGTCCATCCATCTAAGCAATAAAATTTAAAAAAAAATCTATGTGAACATGTTTCTGCTGTAAAATAATCGTACCTTCCAATTTCAAGGGTGAGACAACCCGTTACACAGTCTCATGTCGCCTTAAGTGTCGACATTCAAATTTTGGGCTTATGTCAGTGGTATGCATTATTCTTTCAATATTTCTAACTTTCTTCTTTTCTACGTTATCCACATGCGCCTATCTTAATCAGAGGTTTGGAAAGGAGCATAATCTATATATATATATATAAAAATGAATTGCTGTTCGTTAGTGTCACTAAAACTCAACTGGCCTTGAATGATTTGTGGAAGTCCAGAAAAGGTTTAAAAGGTAAATAAATCAACAAAATGCTAGGAATTAAATAAAAATAACAATTTTGTTTTTCCTTTGATGTGTCCCCCGTCGGACGGATTCATTTTGTTTGTTTAAAGTTTATTTTATACAAAAGTTTTTTTAGTCTTTTATTTATCGATTGAGGCACTGCGAAGTCTGCCGGGTCAGCTCAGCTAGTTTTAATATTTTTTTAACACGTTGAACGCCATGGGGCCCACCGATGGTTCTAGCGGCGCAAAAACTGGGAATCAGTAATTTTTATCAACTTGAGATTTTCATTCTAAAATTTATAAAACTCGATAATTTGCACGAAAGATAAAAATTTTGCGACTTTTACCGTCTAGTTTTTAACATATTTAAAAAAGGCGTAAATTTCTTTTCGTGTTTGGTTTGGCTTACACAATATTATTCCAAATTATTGTTTATGTTTTTAAAGTTAACGTAATGTCAATCTAATATAACTATACATACTCGTATGTGTCGGGTTACGTCAAACATCAAGAATGAAACCGAGGCAATAGGAATTTATTACTATATTAGTTTTTTTTATTGCATAGATGGTTGGACGAGCTCACAGCTCACCTGGCGTTAAGTGGTGGACATGTACAACGTAAATGCTACCACCCAACTTGAGATATGAGTTCTAAGGTCTCAATATAGTTACAACGTCTGCCCCACCCTTCAAACCGAAACGCATTTAGTGCTTCACGGCAGAAATAGGCAGGGTGGTGGTACCTACTCGTGCGGACCCACAAGAGATCCTACCACCAGTAATTATGCAAATTATAACTTTGCGGATTTGATTTTGATTGCACGATGTTATTCCTTCAGCGTGGAAGTCAATCGTGAACATTTGTTAAGCACGTATTTCATTAGAAAAATTGGTACCCGCCTGCGAGATTCGAACACCGGTGCATCGCTAGATACGAATGCACCGGACGTTCTATCCTCTAGGCCACGGCGACTTCACGACTCAAAAGAATAAGATTTATTTATTATAATTTTCAAATAAATTTTCTGTAACGGTTTCGCTTCCATTTTGTTCTGTGGCCGGGTCACATAAATTAACAGTTCATAAAGTCTCTGAAAAACGGTTTCGCTTGACGTGTTCGGAAATTCAACTGCTTTGATTCCAATCGAACTATTCAAGAATGGAACTTATAACGAAGTGGTGTCCGTATTCTGTCCCCATTTTCAGCTGTTCTTAGCATAATGAAATTTTTGATAAGAAAAAATTAATCGAAAATTATCGCAGCACAAGTACACGACCTCGTTGAATCCGAAACACGGAGAGCGACACACCGTGAAAATACGCATACGTGCAAAGTACACAAAACGTCCGTATAAAATATTCAGGGCTGAAAAAAAAATCGGTCCGCCGGAAACAAAGGAGCCATGATCCGTGCACGGAACAAGGTCGAGGCTTTTAGGACGATTATGGCGAAATGACACGTAGCCAGGGCTCAGGCAAAACCGCGCGCACCGCCTACCTGGGACCTTGCCATGACCGTGAAAAACAAACGATTCTGTGTAAACCGAGGAAATTCAGGAAAAATACATCCGGAGCTACGCTGCTACGAGTGCTACGAAGCTCTCAGCGAACCGTAGCAGCGTAGCTACGACAAAAATTAAATTACGACTGTGTCGATAAACGTAGCTTTTATCTAACGTACCTCCTTCCAGATTCTAAAACATGCCTAACAACGGATTTGTCTTCGCAAACCAAAAAAAAAACAATAAATAAAATCACGTTTTCGAAAAATGAACAACTTACCAGATATAGACGTCTCGTTCGCACAGATTGAAGGTCGGAATGTCAGCTTTTTTTAAGGGTACGTTCACACTCGCGGCGGCTGCGGCGGGCGGTGGCGACTGACTGACTGAGCCCGGCCGGGAGCCCCGCCTCCCTCGTGCCGTGCCACACCCCCGCGCCCAAGCGGATAAACAACGTGCATTGTGGGCTCGATCTGTGGGCCCTCTCTATTGTACACACACCACTATCCGGCCGACCCCTCTTGTTAACATCATTTCCGTTGCACGATCTGTACCAAATCGGATAATGTTCGACGTTCAAAGCATTCAATGGTTTAGAAAATAAATGAAATCGACGTGTTCGTATTGAGTTGATATCAGATGAATTTTCCGCTCAGATAGTGGTCTAGCGTTATAGATTTTGGACTTAACTCTCGCAGCGCGGATCCGAGGAATGGTAATGTACGACAGTTACTTATAAGGAGATTATTCCGGTGACGGTGACCCTATTCGAACAGATAATATTTGATATCGTATATTTCAGAAAGCTTTGGGCTGTCGTTTCGGTCTTCAAACAAAATATGACATTTTAAGGCAAATGGTGCTTTGATAAATTTATACATTTACAATAAGTTATCAGGCTTAATTTCACATCGGCAATCACAAACGGTCGTAAATTAAATAGATAATTTAGATTTAGGAACGTATTTTCTGGTGGTAAGGCTTCTTATGAGCCCGCTCTGATACCTGCCTGTTTCTGCCGTAAAGCAGTAATGCTTAAAGGAATGCTGTGAAACTGAGACTTAGAACTCACGTCTCAAACTGGGTGGCGACATTTACTTTGTTGATGACTACGGGCAACGGTGACATGTAATGACCAATACTATCTTTAAGCATCAGGTCAAAATCCCTATTGAACCAGATAGCGACTAGTCTGACCAAGGCACGTCTTAGACAGAACAACATGTGGTCAGAAAAAAAAACCATTCTAGAAAACAGATTTCATTAAAAAAAACGATCCTTGACATGTGATTATAATTAATTTAGTAAAAACTTAACTAAAAAGAGAAATATAATTAAATAATTATATTCACTTGTAACGTGCATACTTACTAATAATTTAATTATGTCTTACTATACATTTATGAAGTAACTAGCGACCCGCCCTCGCTTCGCTTCGGAAACATTAAAACACACATGAAACCAAAAAAATAAAATAAAAAAAATTTAAAAAAAATAGCCTATGTTCATCAGGGACAATGTCGGCTTCTAATGGAAAAAGAATTTTTCAAATCGGTCCAGTAGTTTCGGAGCCTATTCGAAACAAACAAACAAACAAATCTTTCCTCTTTATAATATTAGTATAGATTTAAATGATCCTTGACATAATTTTCAGAATTAGGCACCGAAATACATTTTTAATGTGCTTTAAATTCAAAAGTATACATAAACTTACAAGAGAGATAATTCCCAGAAATCTCTTCACAAAAACCTGCACTGCTAGCATTATTACAAAGAAAAGCTTCGAAAACTTCATCCGTTGGCCTCAAAAGCTCGCGAACTTTACAATGTAAAATGCATTCGGCATTCGAAGAGCTCTCAAAAAGACATTAAGCTGAGTTCATGCATAGCCCAGCTCGGCAAACGTTATTCGTGAAATAAACAAATATAGAACGGTTTACATACATTGTTGTATAAATACACTGTTGTGCATATATTGTCACGATTTACTGTTCACTATCTTAGAATGTCGTAGAAAGTCGTCGTGGCCTAACAGGTAAAACGTCCGGTGCATTCATATCTAGCGATGCACCGGTGTTCGAATCCCGCAGGCGGGTAAACCAATTTTCCTAATGAAATACGTACTTAACAAATGTACACGATTGACTTCCACGATGAAAGAATAACATCGTGTAATTTATTGATATTTGATTTTTAAATCAAACCCGCAAAATGATGATTTGCGTAATTACTGGTGGTAGGACGTTGTGAGTCCGCACGGGTAGGTACCACCACTCTACGTATTTCTGCCGTTAAGTAGTAATGCGTTTCGGTTTGAAGGGTGGGGCAGCCGTAGTAACTATACTGAGACCTTAGAATTTATATCTCAAGGTGGGTGGCGCCATGAACGTTTTAGGTGTCTATGGGTTCCAGTAACCACATAATATCGGGTGGGCTATGAGCTCATCCGCTGACCTGTGCAATAAAAAATAAGTAAATGAAATGTTCTATACTACACTAGAGTTATGTTGCCAAAATTATTAGATTTTATATTAAGGCAATTAAATTTAAAACTAGAATTGCGTTTTTGTAATTATCTTGTAAAGACAAACTTGCATCTAGTATTAAGTAAGATAGATGTCGCAAATTGCCTTGAAACAAAAGATCGAAGTTCAATTTTATTAGTATACCGACCGTTCCATACATCAAGCCTGAACACAAGAATAAACCGCAATCGGAGTTCGTTAATCGCGGAATGTTTAACTTTCAAAAGAAAGTCTTTACGCATTTTACAGACACAAAACCTAAATGTCATTCGGCCAGTAAGTCAATAACCGACCAATTCAATTTGCATACGAACATGACAGACGCAAAACGGACATTCGAGAAGGGGCACAATCGACACTACATTTCACTAATAGGCAAACATGATATAGCAAAATGCGGAACCTTCGTCACACCTGACAGCCACAATGAGAAACCCTTAAAATGTTTGAATTGAATCGAAATTTTTTTCCGGCTGGGGGCCGAACCTCCTACGAGGTCCCCGCGCATAGGGGGCGCGCGGGGTATGTTGAACTGGACCGCGACTGCGAGACCGCGGATTTTTTCAGGGTCCTACCCACTAAACGACTCCCCTGCAATCTTCACCCAAGCGGACGATTCTCTCCGAGGTCAAAACCCGCATGAGGTAAGAGAGTTACCGCGGTCAACACCAGACGGCGCAGCTCACCCTAAAGACGCCTGGCCGACGGAGCCTTCGAGGCGAATCGAGGACTGAAACGTCGGCCGTCTCGGTATGGCCGTCAGGCCACCCAAACGGTGCCGCTAGTGTCCCGGAATACCCCGCTGGACCAGAACCAGCCTGCCGGGTCGGGACACGACACACCGCCAACCGGTTGCTCTTTTTATCTAGAAGATATTACTCCATGGCAGCGCGCTAGAGTGCTGGTAGCGCGCCGCGCGGCCTCGACCCTCTCACATCGCCCCGTGACCATCACCGGGGGTCAATTGAATCGACTGGCCAAACGATTTTTTTAATGCAGACTGACACCAAGATAAATGAGGGCAGTCGTGTTCTGATGTCTACAACCTCAAGTTCCACTTAACTCCAGGTCGACCGTGAGCTCGTGCGTCCATCGAAAGCAACAACGAAAAATTGGTAAAATAAGATAATCTGGTCACGATAACCAGCCCATTAACCTAATTTATTTGTTGCCTAGACTAGTGAACAAGCTCATGGCTAAGCCAAAATTAAGTGGTTACCTAAACCCATAGTGGATTAAACAACCAACCTAGCGATTTGAGATGGAAATCTCAACCTTTCAAACCGGATATTGACTGTATCCCGGTCAACAACCAATAAGGCAGCACCAGTTATTACGTAAATAAAAGATTTTGGACGATTTTATTTCAATTTCACGTAGTTATTTCTCGATCGTGGAAGTAATTTCTAAGTGTGTGTGAAGTGTGTGAATAAAAATCAAACCCGCAAAATTATAATTTGCGTAATTACTGGTGTACCTGGTGTACCTGTACTTGGTGTAATTACACCTCTGGTGAGTCCGCGCGGGTAGGTACCACCACCCTGCCTATTTCTGCCGTGAAGCAGTAATGCGTTTCGGTTTGAAGGGCGGGGCAGCCATTGTAACTATACTTGAGACCTTAGAACTTATATCTCAAGGTGGGTGGCGCATTTACTTTGTAGATATCTATGGGCTCCAGTAGCCACTTAACACCAGGTGGGCTGTGAGCTCGTCCACCCATCTAAGCAATAAAAAAAAGAAGAAAAAAGCATAAATTTCCTTAGAAAAATTGCTGTCTTGCGGGATTTCTACTACAAAGTCGCATTGCACGTATACACCGTGCCTTATTCTATAAGCCATGATATCTAACGTCAAATTAGTAATGTTAATTTATATACGTAAAAGCGAAACAATATTAGTCCGCGTTTGAAGTATATGATTATATTATTACTAGAACAGAGATATTGCTTTTACCATCCATGTATTCTCACAGTACGAAGGCTATGGGCTACAACAGGCGCTGAGCGCCCGACGATCGCTAAACTTGCTTGCCTGTTTAGATTATTAAAATAAATTGTCTTGAATCTGCAAACCTATGTATCTAAGATACGTACGCTATATTGCCATACCAGCTTGAAATACTCCATCTGAAAAAACCAGCAGGTACTATATTAGGAGTCCTATCCTAAGAACCAATATTATGCAGACCGCTCATTCAGTCGAATTGAAAAATGTATTCTTTGAAATTAGAGCACTACCGATTATAGTAAGTTTCATGATTTATTTATCACTCGTCAATAAATATTCGTGTCTTCAAAAATAAATCAAATAAACACAATATAGATCGTTTATTCATTTCATATGGTTACTGTTCGATGAATGTATCAATATAGCTATCGACTTTAAGTTTTAATTTACGGTTTGAACCAGAAAAAGAAAATAGGCAGAAATATAAATGAATGAATGAATTAAAATTCTTTATTGCACAAAATAGTGTACAAAGACGAACTTAACGCTATGCAGGCATTTTCTTCCAGTTAACCCTCGTATTTAATAATCTCGCAGAAATATGTAATTTTCTGCAGGATAGCCGTCGGAGTACCACGGTTACTCCACGATGACCTGGAGCTCGATTCAGTTAGTAAGTACCTACAGTCGGCATCGCTGCGCCATTTTGAGAAGGTGGCACGACATGACAACCCTCTCATCGTGGCCGCTGGAAATTACATACCCGAACCAGTAGACCGAATGGTAAACCGTCGACGTCGCCCAAAGCACGTCATTATGGATCCTCCTGATCCATTAACGGTGCTTTTAGGCACCACAAGCACCGGTCACCGTCCTCTTCGAATCCGTCGCTTGCGACGAAGGGCTCGATGAGCGAACTAAACCATAAACACAGCCCACTGAGTTT